ATGGGACAAGATGAAGGACTAGTTGAAGGCCCAATTTTTGCCTCAACACTATGAGCAAATTTTTTGTATCAAAAGATACAAAATTTACATTAGTGGGACAAGACCAATGTTAAAAAATTCGCCCGCCAAAAAATTTCAAAAACGCCTAGGCACCAGTTAGGCGAGACTATAAGGAGTCCTGCGTTTAGGCACCCGCCTAAGCGCTACAGTCTAGGCAGCCGCCTAGTGACAGTCTGTCAAATGGCTGAAAAAACCCTTGGCGAGGGTCAAAATTTGTCACCTCCCCCCCCTAAAAGGGAGGGAAAACGGTTTCGAGGGATATTCTTAACCTCCAAAACAAAAATCATGCTTTTTAGAGAGAGAGAGAAACTCCCCAAAAAACTCTCTTTTGTAATTTATCAAAAGATTGATAATTTTTTTTACTTTTTTTATTTCTTCCCAAAATAAAGGAAAATAGTTCGTGGGTGTTTTAGGAGCTTCTAGTAGTCGATTTTGAGGGCTTTTGGCAACCCAATAGATGAGGTTTGCACTGACACCGATTTGATTTTGACATTTTTAGAGTATTATCATATTTGAATAAGGGTTTTGATTTGATTTTGCTACAATGTATTATGTTATGAATCATTTGTGTTTCCTTTGACCCTTTTTTTTTTATTTTACGATATATTTACATGGTTGTAGTTGAAAGATTGAATTTTTTTTTGTGATTTATTGAATTTTTTCTTAGTTGGACAATGAAATTGGGCTTTTGTGAATAGTCATAAACTTTGGATGAAATCGATATTTTGTGAATATTTGATATCCAAAACCAAATCTTATGAAAATTAATTAATAGATAATAATTATAATATAACTTCTATCTTAGTTAATAGTCCAGCCGCCCTTGTTCCTGGTGGGCACCCAGCTGCCTATATATACTCAAAGAAATCTACATTATAGAGTAACTTAGCTGAGAGTGAAGCCCAATGAGTTAGGGCCAATGAGTTAGTTAGCATGTGCATGGTCTTATGTTGGCGATACAAGATCAGGTGGGACTGCATCGACTCTATAAAGTGATGGATATCAAATCACCTCAATGCAAACAATGATTCACGCCAAAAAGTATCTTCAAAACCCGTTGCAAAATTGGAGGAAAACATTGTAACTTAATCATTAATAGTGCGATGCATATCAAATCACCTCAAAACAAAACTATGATTGACGCCATACAGTGTCGTTAGAACCTGCTCTAAAATTGGAGGAAAACATTGTGACCTAATCATTAATAGTAGGAGTAGCCAAAATTTGGTTACAGAGGTTGTGGATAAGTTGAAGGTCAAGACTGTAAAGCACCCGCAACCTACTGGATTCTTTGGTTCATCGAGGGAAATAAGGTAATTGTCTCTTCAAAATACATTGTCAGTTTTCTTAGTTAGAACATCCTTCGAAGAATAAGTTTGGTGAGACGCGGTTCACATGCCAAATCTTATTAGGTTGTCCTTGGCAATGTCATCATCATCATTTTAGCTTTTTCTTAATTAATTGGGGTCGGCTACATGAATCCTGGTTCTCCATTCTGCTCTATTAAAGGTCATATCTTCAGTGACGTCATAAGTCCCCAATCTTTTCGAACTACTTCCAACCACATCCTTTTGGGCCTATCCCTTACCCTTTTCAGTCCTTCCACTTGAACTAACTTGCACCTCCTAACAAGTGTTGTACTTGGTCGGCACCACACAAGGCCATCCCACCTAAGTCTACTCTCTCTCATTTTATCGCGTATTGATGCCACACCTAAATTCTCTTGAATAAATTCATTTCGAATTCTACCCCTTCGTGTCTTGCCACTCATCCATCTCAGCATCCTCACCTCCGCTGCACTCATTCTATGAGTATATTGTTTTATGTCCGCCCAACATTCCGCCCCATAGAGAAAAGTTGATCTCACCGTTGTCCTATAGAACTTGCCCTTCAGCCACATTGGTATATGGTGATCACATAAAATTCCAGTTGTACGTCTCCACTTTGTCCACCTAGCTCTAATTCTATGTGCGGCATCTTCCTCGATCTCTCCATTTCCTAGATTATCGACCCAAGATACCGAAAGTACAGTCTTTTTTGTACTTCATGGCTATCAATCTTGACTACTTTCTCGTCTCTACTCCTATTATTACTAAACTTGCGCTCCATATACTCTGTCTTAGTCCGACTAATTTTAAAACCTTTGGATTCTAGAGCATCCTCCAAAGTTCTAACTTTGTGGTGAGACGCGGTTCACATGCCAAATCTTATTAGGTTGTCCTTGGCAATATGAGCAGAAAACTATCCATCATGGTGAAAAGAACTTTTAAAAGTTGATGAAGGATGAAAGCTTAGTTAAGTAGGGGAGTGGAGCTTCATCTGCCTACTAGAATCTATAATCTACATTATTTCATGGAAAAGATTGACAAGAGTGGGATGCACGATATCCTGACATGAGGCCACAAACAATGTCAGACAATGTGGAGGAGTTATTAGAAGAGCTAAAGGACATTTTGCGTGAGGAGTGATCGGTCATCCTCAACAGGGAGATCCAACACCATATTGATTTGATATTAAGAATTGTCCTACCAACTTGTCCACTATTGAATGAGTCCCAAGGACCACGAGGAGCTCCATAGCCAGGTATCTGAACATCACAAAAGGGCCTTATTCAAGAGTCTAAACCAATGTTTTGTACCTACCTTACGAAAGAAGGATAGGTCTTGGAGGATATTTGTAGACAACTAGGCTATAAAAAAAGATAACACCCAAGTATAAATCTAGAATACCGAGGTTAGACAATATGCTTGACCAAGTTATCTAGTTCTCAATTCTGCTCAAAACAGACTTAGGAGTGGATATCATCAAAAAAAGATTGGAGAAGAGATGTGTGGATGACAGCTTCAAGAGCAAAGGCTTTGTGAATGACTTGTTATGCCGTTAGGACTCCCAAAGACTCTTAATACTCCTACGGATATATTAATCAGGTACTCAAACCACACGTGGGAAGTTCGTGATTGTCTATTTTTGACAATATTTTGGTTTACGAAAAGGAGTTTAGGACTCATGTTGAACATGTGGGGGCTGTCCAATCGGTTTTAAGACAATCAGTTTTAGTAAACCTCTAAATTTTACCTTCAGGGCGAATATGCTGGAAGTGTCAACAAAATCTGTAGATGTCAAGCCGTTCAAGGTTCAAGCTATTACAAGTTGGCCTACCCCAAAGACCTTAACAAGGCCAAGTTTTGTAGAAGACCCATTAACAATTTTAGCACCATGATGGCACCAATTATGGAATGTTTTTGGGGGTGAAAACTACAGCTATAACTGTCAGGTTGAGGAGAGTTTTCATGAGTTTAAGAAAGGACGATAGAAGCATCAGTCCGAGCCCTACTAGATTATTGTAAGGTCTTTCAGGTGGATTGTGATACATCAAGTGGTATTGGGATTGTCTTAAGCCAAGAAAGCTGGGCAATCACCTGTTCAGCTAGAAGCACACTAGCACGACAAAATTACTCTACCTACGAAATTGAGTTCTATTCCATTGTCCAACCATTGAAATTTGGATACACTACTTAACTTAGAGGGAGTTTTCTTGCATCTAAACCACGAAGCTGTGCAATTCATCAATGCTGAAAAGAAATTATGAGGGAGAAATGCAAAATTGGTAGAGCTCTTATAAGAGTATACTTTCGTACTCCGACACAACGCAATCTAGCAAAATAAAGTGGCTGATGCTCTAAACAGGAAGGTTTATTTATTGAAGACCATGTCAGCTAATGCAGTTGGATTGGAAGTGATTAAAGAGCTATAAAAGACTGACCCCTTTATTTTTTAATGTTGTCAAGCCAGAGAATGCAAAGTATTGATGATTAAAGAGCTATGCAAGACTGACCCCTTTATTTTTGAATGGTGTCAAGCCAGAGAATGGAACGTATTGACTAAATTCATAACTAGCAACAGTTATCTCTTTAAAGGCCCCAAATTAAGCATAGCCAAGGGGTCATTGCAAGCATTTTTTATCTTTGAGTCGCATGGAGGTAGCTCAGGAGGTCATTTTGGTAGAAGCAAGACTTTCGATACGATAGCAGAGAGGTTTTCCTTTGGCCCAAGATGCAGCTGGTTGCCTATAGACAGATTGATAGGGTTGCACGTGCCAAGTTTTGTAGGGACAACACCAAAACATCGGCCTATATATCCCGGTACCAGTTCCATGTGGCTCCTTTGGTTTAGATTAACATGAACATTGTTTTGTCTTGAGTTGACGGCCATTTTATTGTACAATGCAAGACGACGTTGGATGCCACCCACATGGCAAACATATTCTCATGGGAGGTGGTTAGACTTCATGCAGTTTCAAAGACCGTCACATGTGAGTTGTGACAGGGATACAATGTGCTTTAATCAATGTTGGAGGACTTTGCGGAATTTGTTGGCAACTAAACTACAGTACAATAGCCCCTACCATCCACAAATGCATGGCCAAATAGAAGTATTGAATCAGAGTTTGGGAAATTTGTTGCGAAGCCTTATTGGGGACAAAATTAGTCAGTGGGACTTGACTTTAGCACAAGATGAAGTTGCTTGTAATAATTTGGGGAACAGATCTGCTAGAAAGAGCCCGTTTTGAGATCATGCTAAGTGAACACATATTGCAAGTTACTGTATTTATTCTTGTTTGTACTGCCGTTGCCTTTGATTCACATCATTCTCCAACAGAGACATGTTTCAATGATAGGAATACTATCTATGTAAAAAGAAAATAAATGTCCTCAGAAACAGATGAACTATTTAGGGTTTAGGTGCAATAGATGCTCGATTAAACCTCCAAAGGAATTCACAAAACCAAGACCAGATGTCAAATATATTATATCCAGAGAATAGAAGTTCATCGGCAAAAGGTAATCTTAGATTGTTTCCTAGCAGTGCAATGTAAATAACAGGCAAATCCATTGGAACTTTGAGCTTTGCACATCACCGCTGCCAATTATCGAACTTACATGTCAAGTAATAAGAACCAGAGTGTCTCAGACTCTTGAAAATCTAAACGCAAGGTGTTCCGCTGACATAAACCAACAGCAGCAAGGAGTACATCATGTACGACATTAACCTGCACAACAGCACCATAGTAGGGTTACTGCAGAGAGATAAGAACCAGTAACATTACGAACAGGCTAATTTACTCCGAATAAAGTTTTTCTGTTCATATTGACAAACCTCTTTCATTTCTAAAACAATATTGAGCCACTCCAACTCTGTGAACTTAGTAGAACCCGCCTCAGCTACTTTATTTCCCACAGCAATATGAATCATGCTTATTTTTTCATCTATACCAGACAAAGCAAGTGATAAAGCACTCCCAACGTCTCCAACTCTTTCAAGCAAGAATGCAGCGGCATCTATGACACCATGCTCCTGGCACAAACGCAAACAGTGCTCCACCCTATAGTTTTCAAAAGTTTCCAAGAACTTGAGAACTGAATGAGGCTCGTATTGGCACAAGAGCTGCACACGAAAGAACACATTCAACTATTATGAAATATTTTTTAGGACAAGGATGACAGGCATGGCATAGCAAGGAAACAGATAATGCGACTGCTGTAAAAGTACTACCCGGTTAAAAGTACAAATGCAGCACAATTATTACTCTAGTAACTAAGAAATTTTCAGAAATGAGTTTACGTAGTGCATGTCACAATTGCATGCTACAGATCTAATTGTCACAGTCAGATTAACATAAACTATCAATCTCAAATAACAAATTCAAGGCGATGATAACTAGCTCCACTGTAAACATTAAAAACAAAAATTATAAGACAGCACGAAACGAAAATTATAAGACAGTACATTTTACCACTGCAGCCATTAAGAAGTTGCAAGACATGTGTTTACATACTACGAGATACATGATGCAGACCCAATTGTTGACTAACAATGATCTCCAGTATTTACAAAGAAATTTCAAGCATTATGATAATCCTGTTGTAAACATTAGAAATAGAAATTATAGAAATTTATCTAGAACATTTTCTTAAGAAGAATAATATACATCCCCCACCTTACAGTATACCGACAATAAATCCATTGCGCTGTAATACATGACACTCCAATAAACAACCTCAAACAAATAAAATTCGAAGTACAGCTCGGAAATGTTTAAACAGATAATTCAGGTTTTGCACTCATAATTTACATTGCTTATTTTCAGAATGGAATGTAAAAATCCTCTGAGAAGTAGATCATGCGTACTTTGGAATACATCACTCCGATGGTGAACTTAGAATAACTCTTAAATTTTGGATACAACTTAATTATTGCAGAATACTTGTGGCCTAGGCAATCATGTCATTTACCAAGGCAATGGTGACTAATAATATTTCGGGCAAGATTTAAAATGTATCAAGCATAAAAGGACATCTTCACCATTGAATCCCCTTCACAAATAGCACAAATTCTCCGATATGCAGCTGCTATATAAAACATATGTGAAGGAATTTAACTCCCCCTTGCATGCAGGTGGGTGGATGCATGGATCTATGTGTGAATGTATACTCTAGCAAGAAAGTTCATAAGAGAACAGGAGAATATGAGATTGAGACATAATAGGATCTACAGATCAACCTATTAAGAAAAGAGGAATCTCTTTTGTATCATTCATGTGTTACAAGCAAAGCAGCATGTAAAATGCATAGGAGAGCTCAAGCAGAACAGTGAATACACTGCATAAAAGAAAAATCAGAAATTCCCTTTAAACAGATACTACATATAATCTCTCTACAGTATATTACGAAGGCATCTAGTAAACATGACATAGTTCTAGGACATATATGAAAGTAGTAGTATTCGTTCTAAATTCAACCCAAGTGAGGACATGAAGCTAAGTAGGAACATCCATATGCATTTATAGAACAGAAACAGATGGAATGATCGCCTATCTCTTCCTCGTTTTGTTTTACACCCAGAGAATGAAACATTAAACCATTACATTTTAAAAGAAAGTTAAAGAAACCTAACATTATTCTCAAACCATGACATGCCCACCTCAAGATAGAGCTCTGCCATTTCATCAGTTACTTGAACGGAATTTTGCCTCAGCATCTTTGGTAGATTAGAGACCCTTTCCAAGTATGCTTCAATATCCTTGGAATGATCCGAGACTGTTTTCAAACCAAGTGGGGGATCTAGAACATGCCCTTTTCGCAATGCTGAAACATTGAGAGAGCCAGACAAGTGGACATCAATGACTGTCTTGAGATAAAGAAAAAGACTCCTAGGATGGGAGCGAAGCTGAAAGAGGATTTGATCACTTTCTTTACTGAAATGTTCGATGATAAAAAAAAATGCTCCCTCTCTGTAACCAGAATATAAGAAAACAAAGGAAACAATGCAAGGATTAGAATACTGCCCAATATCAACAACAGTTCAAACTACAAAACACTACTTCTCTTTTCTTTTCTTTTTCTGTGGTGGGATTGAGCAGGAGAGGGGCGGGGGGGAGGGGAAGGTGGGTAAGAAAAGACTTCCTTTCATTAAAAACTAAAGCAGAAATCCGTTGTCGCAACAGATAGCCAGATTACTCGATGATCAAAGAAATTGAGAAATAGAACTTCAATATTATAAGCTCCACCTGCTCAGTTTTACCAACTCTGGAATTCGAGTAACAACTGCCTGTCGGAAGTCAGAAGAATCATTATCTCTCATTTGTAGCAGTGTGTTGCTTATAAAGGCAAACGCATGGATAGGTTCATCTATTTCTTTCATGTAACTATCAAGGGCGGCAACATAGTGAGCTCTCTTAATGTGTATCAAGCTACAAACCTGCAGATTGAAAGATATATCACTTGACATAAAGAAGGCATGGAAATGCTCCTTTAATCCCATGTGAGCCCAAAGTAGACATCAAATAAGTTAGAAGAGCAAAGCATAGAAAGATTTATAACATGCCTGGTAGAACTGTGCCTTCTCACAAAGCTCCAATACATACAATGAGTCCCATTCTGTTTCAGCCACCACTTTCAACAGTGCAAGTACCATTTTTTCTCTTCTACGAGCAATTTCTGGTTTTGAATCAGAATCCCATGGTGATACATCATTGTCACATGTCAAATACTCCAAAATACGATTCAATAAACTTTTGGGAACAACAGCATGATGGCATGCAACAAAGCAAGCAATAAATTCTAGCAGCAGGCCAACATCCTTTTTAGATGGCCAAACTTTTAGTGATCCATCATCTGAGCCAGAGGATCTAACTACCCCTGTGAGTTCCATATCAAGAACTTGCACCAAAGTATTCAAAGTGTTCTGCACCAATGAGTTTTCACCTTCCACATTCTCTGAACCACTTATCATGCTTGCCTTAATGTCCGTGTTGACCAAATCATTCAAATAATCACCACCTTTAAGATTTTCTTCTTCCTGGAAAGCAAACTTCAGAACCTCTAAAGTTGCCTCCGTATCAAGCCACAAAAAGTAGCAGATGTTTAGACATGGTCCACTGGTAACTGTTGAATTTGTCACTATTTCAGATGTATTTGAACTTTGTAGTAGAAACTGCATCATTTCCTTTTTCAGAGAGAGCAAGCGGGATGGAATAATGCTGCCACGTCCTGGAAAAGCAAATATTCAGAAGTTCAAGCTTACTATTTTATAATACTCACAACTCTGCACAAACTTTGTGAGGAAAAGCAACCAGAACTCTTTCTCGTAAGATATCAATAATTTGGTCAAAATGAACATTTTCCATCTAAACCATAAAGTTACCAGTTCATTTCTTAGTAGTTAGAAGTTGTTTAACGATTTAAAAAAGAAGAGATAGAGAGAGAGAGTGGCAGCAGCGAGGGGGGGGGGGGTGTTGTTTATTATATGCCATAAACTCAACACACTAAACAAATAATAAACCATTTCTTGAAAGTCATCAAAGGAGTGGAAGACATAGATATCGATTTCTCTTCAATCAACTGTTGGTTATTTAAGAATTATATGAGAAAAAAAGGTGGGATTGCAACAAGCAAGCACCACTAATCAGAACGGAAAGAGATTCAATTACTTACACATCCTTCAAAGCAGGGAAAACTCCGCACTAGATATAGCTCTCCTTCATTTCCTTATGGAAAAGTATACAATCACCACTATTGTGCAGTAATTGCACACCATGGGTTACATCCACTGTCTGTTATGGACAATGGATGGTGGAAATTAATATTCCCAGGAGAATGTCCTTTTTTTTTTTAAGAACGACTATTTTCTGTTTTGTAAAAAACGGATGTATGCCATTGACTAATTTCCACCATCCTGCATTGGGAACGGATGGTAGATATGCCCACATCGTACCACCATGGCATACATCATGCAGAACCATTGTATAGCTGTAGATACCTGACACATGTAGTTCAAAGACAAAAAGCAGCAGACATTCATAAAATACACTCCATGTAATTCTCAGACAAACAAAAGCTTTCCAAGATCAACCTCACAAAGGACAAAATGCTCTCATATATCTTGTCAAGTTTCATTTATTTTAGATTAATGACTTAACATGACCAATTCAATAGACATCCTAGATGAAAGTAGCCAGTTCAACCTTTGATGTGTTGGAAGATTTTCTACACCACAGCCATAATAACAACTTAACGAACATTCCACAGCAACCTTTCAGTAAATTCATACTCATCACTCTGGGATTACATGTTCCACTTGTTGCTTTAAAGTCTAATGGCATAATCAATATATCAAAGCAACTTTTCAACTTTTCAATAATTTCATAATTATGATTTCCCTAAAGAAACTCCAGGATTTCCATGTTCCATTTGTTGCATAAAAGTATAATTCAATAAAGCGAGCTGAAGCATAAAGCCATGAACCTTTTATGCAGAAGCTATTTTATTATAAATAATAATAACAATAATAACAACAATAATAATAATAGGAGATTATCTTTAATAATAATAATTAAAAGATATATCACTACTAATAATAATCGAAAGAGTTATTATCATTATTATCATTACTACTACTACTACTACTACTACTACTACTACTATTATTATTATTATTATTATTATTATTATTATTATTATTATTATTATTATTATTATTAAAAACATTATTATTATTATTATTATTATTAAAAACAGAAAAGCAACAACCCTTTCCTGGAGTACATAACATTGCATGACATCTAGGAGGCTGCGTGCTACTTGTTCAAACATGAGCATTTTGAAAATGTGTCGCATAAGAAAATGGAAAAGCATTAAAAACCAAGAATCTTTCTGCTATTAGCAAACACTAATGCCTCTAATCCTTTCTTCAGACACTAATAAAGCTCATCCGCTAAGTTGCACCACCAACCTGTAGTTGTAAAAATGAAGTGCATATATCTTTTACTGCCAGTACTCATGTCGCTGACCTGGACACCACTTTCTTGTCAAACTTTATACTACAGGTGGGGGCAAAGCCTCCCATGTCACTTTGACTTCCATTACCCAGCCCCTCTCCAAAGTCAACTCCCACGAGGCCTACCTAATAAACATGCATACCTTCACCAATGTTTTTCAAAGTTCCCAACAATAGCTTTTAAGCTTGTTGAGTGTCGATGATCCAATAAAATGCTGGAACTCAAGAGATTGGCTTAATAAGAGGAGGCACCCCAAAGTAGTACCCAAGTGTTGCACAACACATACCCAAGTGTTGCACAACATGGCTTGATTATGAACAGTAGTAAATATTTTAAAACAACGGTCAGGTAAACCACAGCGAAGGAAAGTAGAACTGAGGTCTTATGGGCTCCATCTAGGCCAAGTAGTTAACCAAAATTTAAACAACTTTAAAATTTCCAAATCTTAGCAATGTGTTAGGTAACAATCAAATATGAAAATACAGACAATTCAAGAAAAGAGCCAACAAGTTCTTCTGTAAACCTCTCAACAAGCTGAGATCCACACCATGTATCGACTCTTAATAGTGGTATTTGCAAGAATTATCACTTTTATGTTCTTTTTTTCCTTTCATAAGAGAATCAGATGCAATGTGAACTGCTCTTTGATTAGCATGCCACACAGGCTAACTTTATTTGTTTCTGTCTTGTAGCTCACTCAACGCATTCAAATAAAGCTTACTAGTAATTGACACCAGTGCATAGTATACTACTTCAACACACAGGCTAACTTTATTTGTTTTTCTCCTCTAGGTTACTTGAGTCATCCTTGTAAAAGACAGTATCCAGAGGTTGATCTCCATCCATTAGCACATTTTGCTCAGCTTGAATCACTAGAACGTGTAAGTACCATTAGAGGACAGAATAATACCACCCCACAGATTAGAACTCAGTATCCCTCATTGTTCACGGACAACCCAATAAAAAGAATGCCAAGTTGCTCACCTTGCTAGATAGTACAGTATGTTTTTGTGCCATGGAAACCCATTGTCAGCTGCTAATTGTCCTTTTCTGCCTGACAAGGTGCATACGTTATCAAGACACACAAGACACCTGCTCCCATAGACAAAACACCGACTCCAGAGGATTTGTTTGATATGAAATTTTAGAATCACCTTAGAATCACCAGATAAGTAATTTTCAAAAGAGAAAAGAAAAACCTAAATATTTTGAGTTCTTGAACACTTATATCTGAATCCCCAGAAAATGGACAGTTTGTGTTCAATCCTTGAGCATGAATTTTTTTATTTTTTAGGTTTTTTCAACATGATAACTATTGTATTAAGTAGTAAGTAATTAACTCAAGCATGAAATTTTTCAGCCTCGTTTGGAATTTTTCTTTTTTCTTTTTTTTCGTTAGTCTCTAGGTTGAGTAAGTTATATCCCCAAAATTTGGGGCCATAGAAATGTCCCTAGCCAGAGTATTGCCCAAGGGGAGCAAGTGTACATTTTGCTCTCAAGTAAGTTATATCGCCAAAATTTGGGGTCATAAAAATGTTCCTAGCCCTCTATTGCCCAAGGGGAGCAAGTGTACAATTTGCTCCTAAGAGCAATTATCATCAATCAAACAAGATTATCAATACTGCCCAACATGAAGGTAATAAATCAAATCATACCATCCCCAATGAAAACAAGATTATCAACAATGACTAACAAGAAGGTGTGTCTCCAAGAGCCCTATTGAAAAGAGGATAGCTACAAATGGACTCCACCAGACATTGCTTTTTCAACTGTTGCGCAAGTATTGTAGGAGTTTTATGCAATTTTGTTACGAAAGTTTTGCTAGTTTTTGGAGGCCCACTGGGCTTGATAGACTCAACTACACAGAGTTATCAACCCTTCCAAATGAAATAACAACATAACATAGAGAAGAAACAACAATTCATAGGTCAACATCAGAATGTTTGGTATGTAAAGAAGTTTTTAAGGAGATATCTCAGAACATATATGTAAAGAAGTTTTTAAGGAGATATCTCAGAACATACAATTAAGGATTGAATCATCTCATAGCCATGGACATAGTGAGAAAGCTCAGGAAATGCAGGAGCATACCATTATCAAGGTGCATACCATTGTCATGAAACAAACAAGTAATTTTGGAATCACTGGATAAGTAATTTTCTAAAAAACTAATAAATAAATAAATAAAATGTTTTGAGTTCCTAAACACCTAGATCTATCATACAGAAATTGGAGAGTTTGTGCTCAATCCTCGAAAATGAATTTTTTCCAGACTCTTTTTTGGTGTTTTTTCTTTTTCATTTTTTTCTTTCTTTTTTTCTCTTTTTTTTTTGTTTGGTAGCGGCCATGGGGAGGGGCTTGGTTGGGTTGGTCTCTAGGTTTTTTAGTGATATCCCCAAAATTTTGGGGTCATAACCAGGGTATTCCCCAATGAAGCAACTGTACAATCTGCTCCTAAGAAAGCAAAACATCTTATTCCTATGTTAAATATTGATTTTTTTATTCAAAATATCACTTGCACTTATAAATGTAATCATATTATCATCAATCAAAAGAAAACTACCAATAGTAACTAACAAAAATATGTAACTCACCAGTTACAAATTATTATCACTAATCAAAACAAGATTATCAACAATGATCAACAAGAAGGTGCATCCCCAATGACTAACAAGAAGGTTTTATCTCCATCAGTCCTATTGAACACGGAACAGCTACAAATGAACTTCACATGACATGAATTTTCAACTGTTGCTGCAAGCATCGTAGGAGTTTTATGCAATTTCATTACCAAAGTTTTGCTAGTTTTTGGAGGCCCACTAAACTTGACAGACTCAATTTCACAGAGTTATCGACCCTTCCAAATGAAGTAGCAAATATTAAGGAGTTAAGGCAAACAACAGTTCAAAGGTCAAACATCAGGATGTTTGGTACATATAGAAGTTTTTAAGGAGGTAACTGAGGACATGCAATTAAGGGGTTGAATCATCTCATAGCCATGGGTATAATGAGAGAGCTCGGGAAATGCAAAAGCATACATTATCAAGATGCATACCATTATCAAGAGATATAACTGATTTTGGAATCACCTAACAATCACTAGATAAGGAATTTCCAAAAGGAAAAAAGTTGAATATTTTAAGTTCTTGAACGCCTAGGTCTGACCATCCAGAAAATGGCAGTTTGTGTTCAATCCTTAGGCATAAAACTTTTCTAATCTCGTTTAGATTTTTTTTTTTTTTTTTTCTTTTTGTTGGTCCCTAGGTTGAGTAAGTACACCATCGTCATCGTCATCGTCATCGTCATCGTCATCGTCATCGTCATCGTCATCGTCATCGTCATCGTCATCGTCATCGTCATCATCCAAGGCTTATCCCAACTATTTGGCATCGGCAACACAAATCCTATTCCTCCACTCCGCTCTATCAAGCCATTACCCTCAGTCAGACTATCAGTCACTATATCTCTTCCCACTACTTCTATCCACGTCCTTTTAGGCCTTCCCCTTTCCCTTTTAGAGCCTCCCACTTGAATCAAATCACCCCTCCTAACCGATGTTGTTCTAGCTCGACACAGCACATGGGCAAACCACCTAAATCTACTTTCCCTCATCTTATCACCTATTGGAGCGATCCCTAAGTTCCCTCAGATGTAGTCATTCTGAATTCTATCCTTTCTTGTCTTTCCACTCATCCATCTCAACATCCTGATTTCAACTACACTCGTTCTATGGATATGTTGTTTCTTGACTACCAACATTCCAACCCCTAAAGCATAGATAGTCCTACAATCATCCTATAGAGCTTCCCCTTCGATGATCACATAAGACTTCAAAAGCACATCTCCACTTCATCCACCTAGCTCTAATTATATGTGTGACATCTTCCTTAATCCCTTCGTCCTCATGGATTGTTAACCCAAGATATTGAAATCACGTCACTTAGGTACCCCTCGACCACCAATCTTAAATAATTCCTTATTTCTACTCCTGTTATTACTAAACTTGCATTTCATATAAGTTACATCCCAAAAATTTGGGATCAAAAAATTACTCTTAGCCAGGGTATTCCTCAAGGGATTAAGTGTACAATTTGCTCTTACAAGAGCAAATAATCTTATTATTAATTTAATTATGGATTTTTAACTCAAGATATCAGTTGTAGTTATAAATTTAGTCATATTATCACCAACCAAACAAGATCATCAATACTGACTAACAAGAAGGCATCCCTCTTCAATTTGAAAGCAAGTACAGATTCAAAAAAAAAAAGGCGCGACTCACCACATATAAATAAAAAGCACATCATCACCAATCAAAACAAGATTACCAACACTGACTAACAAGAAGGTGTAACTCCATGAGTCCTATTGAACAAAGAATAGCTACAAATGGACTTCACAGGACATGCTTTTTCAACTGTTGCAGCACACACTGTAGGAGTTTTATGCAGTTTCATTACCAAAGTTTTGCAGGTTTTTGAAGGTCTACTGGGCATGACAGACTCAACTTCACAAACGTATCAACCCTTCCCAATGAAATAGCAAAGATTAGAGGTAAGGCAAACAACAATTCAAAGGTCAAACATCAGAATGTTTGGTACATAAAGACGTTTTTAAGGAGATATCCAAGGACATGAATCAAAGGGTCGAATCATCTCATAGCCATTGACATAATGAGAAAGCTTGGGAAATACAGGAGCATATGCAGCCGGGCTGAAGTGAATTTTGGCATTAGCAGAGAAGGCAGAGATGGTGATGCAAGTTTTAGAGGAATAATTTCATGATTCCAAATCTCCGACAGTTAAGTTTGCCATGCTCTGTAATTTCCCCAGGCAGTAATGACTTGAGATAAAGATAATTACAAAATAATACATAGTCTTAGCCACACATGGAGCACTTTATTCCATCATTGAAGATTAAGATGGATGCACTCAATACTTCATTAGAAGATGAGCTAAACTAAGAATACAAGGGAACTGGAAAACTTGTATTTGGAATTCTCAAGTTTTTTTTCCTCTGCACACTAGACATTCTCAAAACCACCTACAACATTCCAAACCTTCTTTCCTTGTCACCATCTAACAAATGAGTCACCTTATTTGAAACTCAGAGCTCGCTGATCCACACCTACAAAAGCCCCAGAAGTACCTTTATAATAGGCTTACAGCCTTCATTTCCTTTTCAATTGGATGTTTCATTGATGTGAAATGTATGATTTGCAGACACTACTACAAATCTAGCGACCAGCTTAACCAGTCAAAGAAGGGCCATATTGACTGATCTCTTTCAACAATTGATCCATACCTTCAAAAGCCGCTAAAGTACCATTACCATTGGTTTATAACCTTTATTTCCTTTGCAATATGATGTTTGATTGATGTGAACTGTATTATTTATTCTTGGACACTACTAAGGAATCCAATAAACAGATCATCAAGTTCACAGAGATCTATATACTTGCTGAGAGGTTCTTTAGTGGTAAAACTAGTGCTGTTCTTCCACTAAAGGTTCGCAAGTGAATTTCCATTCCCTGTGTTATTCTTTATCCATCTAAAAGATAAATATAGAAACCAGTGAAAGATACAGCAAGGAAAACTTCTCAGTGTAATTATGACTATGTCATACATCAACCAACTTCAATCTTGAAATGTAAAATATATCGAGTACTAAGCTGAAAAGAAACACGTGAAGCACATTAGGCAAATAAAAATGAGGAAATTCAAGAGGATAACTCTAATTTCACATCCCTGCACTTGCCAGATCTCATTATAAAATCTCAGCAACAGCATTTAAAAACACAATTATCTCCATCATATTGGAAATCTGAGTTTTGTTAAACAACAATATCTGTTTGTAAAATCTGCATACATGTCATTCTTCATGAACATATTGACTTCATTGCGTAAGATGCTTCAACGTACCTGGAGGGAATGCAAGACCCAAGAAGCAGTATTTCAAGTAAACAAGCATCCGATACCTGTTTTGAACATTCATTTAGAAAGAAAACTTCATGTGAATGACCTTCAAAAAAAAAAAGTATAAACTAATGTTTTAGAACTGTAATGGTCAAAAATGAAAGGAGTGAAAAAGCCTAAAAGCACATGGCTTAACCAATTATGACATATCAGGACAAACGAGCATATAAGTGCAAGATAAAGATGATCACTCAGTCCAAAAGTAGTCAGCTATGTGAGCTACTGAATAAGGACTAGAGAAGGCTATTAATAACTGATCCAAGCTTATAAGCAACTTCAGGAACTTCCACTTCAACTATTTGGCACACCACTCAGTTCCATGGATATTCACTTTCAATCTTTGCTTTTTGACATAAAGGTGACCAAAAAACTACACCACACTTTATATTAGTGTCCAAAATGGATGATATATTAAATGATTTAAAAAATAACTAACATACGGACCACTAGGAGAGTAAATCAATGGAGCTTGTATGAATAAAGCAAAGCAACATACCCGATGGCAACTGCATTCACATTTTGGCTATCTTGAGCAACCACCAAAAGTTCCTCTAAAGGTGCCTTGAAATCATCCAAACCTCTATTGAAAAGATATATCAAGGCACTGTACAAACCATGCTCCCGGCAAAGCCTGACCACCTACAAAGACAAATAACGATAATGTTAATGAGATTTTTAGCGGAAAGACCATGAAACTAATTGGGAGAACCAGACACACAAAGTTGAACACCCTTTAAGTAAGATAATATGCAATAATAAATAAAACAAATCCAAATGACCATCTTTATTCAACTCAAATATCATTCCAAAAACCTAATTGAAAAACAGCATCCCAAACAACTCATAATAACCAAAAGATAACCGATCATGAAAATAAGAAAGTAAATTTACCTGGTTAAAGTCCAGGGAGGAAATGTCCATATGAAGAACGCACTGCTCTACCCTTTGCAACCACCCTTTGCTGCTGTAGTGCTCTACGAGTGCTTGCATAATCTGCCAAGCCAGTAAAACAAGTAAGACTACACTCAATTATTCACATGCTAATTCCATAATCATGCATCCAATACCTCGGGAGGTAGACATCCAAGCATATCTTTCAATATATATGGCTCCAAAAGTTCCAAAAAAGTACCTGAAAACAGAATACATACAAACTAATGACCAGTTTGTCTCATAAAAGAAATACGCTCATTGTTTGTCAGTACATAATAAACAGATTATTAATTTTCATAAGAGCAGTAGAACACTAATCCGTGGACCGGAGCTGGCATTAATAAATATTGAAAGTTGAGCATGCAGGATGAAGTCACTATTATTCAACAGGCACACTGCCTGTAAGGAATCAATTGAAGGAAAAAAAAAACAATCTGGATCAACCACTTGCAAAGATCACCTGAAACCACTTAAATTTTCAAGTAATACAAGCTAAATCTGAAATCTAAGCGAGTTGTTCTCGTATTTAAGCTTAGCTAAAATCAATACAACAATTAAGAGAAACATAGACTCTTTACACCAATCCTGACTTATAAGGACATTGCCCATTAACTTTGTTGTATCCAATCCTGACAAGCTCATTCATGCAGTAAATTATTCCAGATCTGGTCAGCTCAACAAGATGTAGCATATGCCACCTTGTTCACCTATGTATATGTTTTTTGAGGAATATGTTGACTTTATAAATATAAGAGAAAATTACAAAAACTTATCTAAAAAACGGCATCCCACTCACTCTTTTACTCTAATACAACTGTTAAAAAACAGCATCCCACAAGTTGCGTGCTCATAGAGCGTACAAAAAGAAAAGAAAAGGAAGCAAAATGTTAAAGAAAGCAGAAAGATACAATATAGACATGGAAGTACTGCAAAAGACCTCATAGCCAAGGCTGAGATACTCCTGTTCCTGTTGGCATGAGGGCAAAGCCTGAAAATCCTGTTGGACGATGGAGCTTGCAGCGGAAGTAATCATAGGAAAGTTGTGATCTGTGGACAAATTGTTCCTGTGTGCTGTGTATTGCCTATCAGTCTTCAAATTTATTCGCCAACCTCTCGATGGTGAGGCAGACGACTGGATAGTGAAACTGCTGGGGAGGGTTGGAAGGATGAGATAGTAAGCCTTCCCCTGCTATCAGCATATCTTCTGTTGCTATTAACCTCTAATATGAAAGCAGGAACTTCTTCTGCAACTTCAAAGCTTTGGGGCCTTAATGCTCACCGAGAAGTGAGAGCAGAAGTGGAAGGAAGGGAGTCATATACTCCAGAGAGTAAAGTGGAGAGGGTGAGAGAAAAGGTTGGGAAGGGAGGACGGGTATAAGTGTGTGGTAGGTTTAGAGCAAGATAGGGGTGAGATAAAAGCAGTGACATGAAGAGGGGAGATCCAGAGGTGAGAAACATGAGGAAAGAGGGAGGAGATTAAAAGATGACAGACATAGAGAGAGGGAAATATGGGTAAAGAGAATAGAGATAGAGAGGCAGAAATAGGGAGGAGAGAGGGAAAGATGGATAGCGAGAATAGAGATATAGAGACAGAAGTTGGGATAAGGAAAGACAGGTAGAGAGAACAGAGATATAGAGACAGAAATAGGGAGGGGGAAAGATGGAAAAAGTGTAGGTAGAGATAGAGTGAAAGAGAAGGACATCCAGAACCAAAATTTCTAATTTTCCCGCCTTCTTCCCTTCTTTTTTTTTTCCAAATTTATCTTTTTTCCTTTTCTTTTTCTCTCTTTTTTTTCCTCCTCTATTTTTTTCCTCTTTTTTTTTTGTTTTTTCTCTCCTTACCTTTTTCCATAACACAGGGGGTGGAGGAGGAGATAAAGTAGAGGTGAGGGAAAAGATTAGGGGATAGCGAGAGAGGGGAAGTGATAAATAGATTCAAAAAGGAGGCTATGTACCTGCACCCAGGGCTGCTCCTTCCTTAGCCACACGATCCGTCACTGCATTGGCCTCTCAAAAGATGAGTGTGAGTTGAACTTGGCGATAAATAGATTCAAAAAGGAGGCTATGTACTTGCACCCAGGGCTGCTCCTTCCTTAGCCAGACGATCCGCCACTGCATTGGCCTCTCAAAAGATGACTGTGAGTTGAACTTGAGGGCGATTGCTGCGAATGCAACGAATTTACTCAAAAACTGTGCTAAGTCTCCAACGGGACCCCTTGAGGTTGGAGGCCCAAAGAATAGTATTCTTGGAGTCTGATTCTGCTATTATCCCACTTGAGATATCATCCATTAGTGCCTAACTTTTTGAGCCCTCCCATTAAGGCAAGGGCCTCAGCTACAGTGGAGTCTTGTATCCCAATGTAGTCCAAGAAGGTCCATAGGGTTGAAACTGAGTTTGAGAGCATCACTCCAATACCAAAGGAACCTGGGTTTCCTAAGGAAGAGACATCTCTATTCAATTTTAAAAAACCAAAAGCTGGTAGTGACCAGAGAGACCGTGGTCTGTACAAGGGGCTTGATAGGTTAAGTAAGCATCCCCAGTTATTCCGAAAGTGAGAAATTGGGTTATTAGCAAAAGTCGGTATGTTTTTGGCCTAGAAGAAAATTAGGGATGAGATTGTATCAAAAATGGAGCTTTGGGATTTAAGAATTCCTCTAAAAGTTCTAGAGTTTCTCTCTATCCACAAGCTCCAAGGTAGAGCCGCTATAGCAAGACGCCACAACTGTTTCCCAGAGGTAAAGAAAGGGGGGTAAAAAACAGAGACTTAAAGAGGATATTCAGAGATGGGGTTGGGGGTGGGGGTGGGGGTGGGGGTGGGGGTGGTGAACCATTGAAGACCAAAATGGTTAGGGAGAGAACCAGAGTCCCATAGTGATTCAACAGTGAATAAAAAGGTGTGGAATGGTCTCTTCTTCTTGGTGACAAAAAATACATCTATTGGGGAACAAAACTCTGAGCCGTTGTAATTGGTCTAGGGTGAGGGTCTGCCCATGAAGGAGGACCCATATGAAAGCTTGGACTTTATGGGGTATAGGGAGGGATCAAGACTTGTTAATCAAGGGTTGAAAGATGGGGCTCTGGAGCAAAGAGTTGTAGAAGGAGAACACTGAGAAAGTGCCTGAGGGGGACTCAGACCAAATTAGGGCATGGGCATCTTGATGATTCAGAGCACAAAAGAAGCGTGTAGAAGTTGGAGTACAGAGGTCAAGGAGGTAGATTCCTGTTCTGAGAGGTTTTTCTGAAAAAACTAGATTGAACCCTCTGATCTCAACATATTCAGCTATAAAAGCTGATTGGTTGGTAGCGAGAGAGTAAAGGAGGGGAAGGATATGTTGACAGGGGTGTGGCCTATCCAGAGGTCTGTCCAAAACTTTATTCAGTGACCATTGCCTAGTTTGAATCTAGTATGGCTCAAGAAAGCATTCTTTGTAAGTGAAATGCTTTTCCAAGCACCTGAAGACCTATGGGGAGGGGATCTAGGCAACCATTTATCATTAACCATACCATATTTGTCGTTGATGACCTCCTTCCATAAAAGTGGGTGGGGAGAGGAAAATTTCCACCACCACAAACCTAATATGGCCAGATTCATAGTTTTCAGGTTTTTTATACCCAATCCTCCAAATGTTTTTGGGACACATACCTTATCCCAAGCTATTAAATGATATTTTTTGGAGCCTTCTATTCCAGACCATAAGAAATCCCTCACTAATTTTTCCAGTCGGAGGATGTCCGAGATTGGGATTTGAAAGAGCGACATATAGTATATGGGAATGCTAGCAAGTGCGGCTCTAATCAGTGTGATTCTATCCCCTAAAGATAGGAATCGCCCTTTCCAGGAGGCAAACGTCCATGTGAATTTATCTATCAGGTGATCCCAAAGGTGCTTCCCAAGTTTACCTAAGCACAAAGGTAGGCCTAAGTAAGAGGATGGGAGGGTTTCTATTGAACATCTTAGCCATTGAGCTAGAGCAGCTAGTTCTGCATTTTGAACCAGAATGCCTATCCTTTTAGTTTTTGTGAGATTGATTGTCATCCCTGCGAGAAGCTCAAAGGTTCTGAGAAATCACCAAAGGCAACCCACTTGGTCTGGATTTGCATTGTAGAAAATTAAGGTATCATCTGCGTAAAGAAGGTGTGAAATGATAGGACCATGTGAGGAGGATCTAAAGCCCGATAGGAGCCCTCTGTCGTACATTCTAGAGATGGATCTAGAGAACAGTTTGCCTATTAGGGTGAAGACGAACGGCGAGAGGGCGTCTCCTTGCTTAAGCCCTCTGCCTGCTTGGAAGAAAACTTTTGGGGTACCATCGAGGAGAATTGGAAAGGAAGGATTGGATATGCATGCTAGTATCCATTTCCTCCAAAGTGTCCCGAAACCCATTCTGGCTTGGATTAGGTCTAGAAGGTCCCAGTCTACCCTGTCATATCCTTTCTCCCAATCTAGTTTAATTATAAGCCCATTTTTACTATAGAGAGTCCGAGAGTGTCAGACCTTGTGCTCTGTTAAGGCGCCATCTAGAATTTGCCTATTAGCAACGAATGCAGATTGGGTAGGTGATATGATGGAGCTTAGAACGTCCTGGAGACGAGTAGCTAGGACCTTTGTGAGGATTTTATAAGACGAGTTGAGCAAGCTAATAGGGAGAAAGTCTCTCAATCTATGGCTCCTTTCAGTTTCGGCACTAAAGAGATGAAGGTACAGTTAATAACTGTATTAAGGCCTCTTTGAAAGAACTCTTCAAAGAAAGCCAAAAGATCAGGGGAAGTTGTGTCCCAAAAATTCTGCAATATAGCTACTAGGAATCCATCAGGACCCCGTGCCCTATCTCTATGGAGATTGAATACTGCCTTCTGAATTTCTTCCATGAAGAAAGGCCTCTGTAGACTTATAGACTCAGCTGGGGAAATGCTTTGGAAAGTTAGGTTTCCTAGTGAAGGGCACCGATAGATAGGTTTAGAGAAAAGATTCTTGAAGAACCTGATGAACAACCCGCTGATTTGGAAGGGCTGGGAGAATGAATGAGGCCCTACGGAGATTTGACTGATAGCATTACCTCTTCGTCTAGAACTGGCCTTCTTATGGAAAAAACATGTGTTTCTGCCCCCATCTTTGAGCCACTTAATTCTAGACCGTTGGAACCAATATGTTTCCTCTTGCTTAAGGATTTGGGAAAGATTATATTTGGCCTGAAACC